CAGTCCTCTGGCACCACACCTGTGGCTTTCGATGAAACAAATATCTCAGCAATGGGCCAAGCAATTGTTTCCTTAATTTCCCACAAAGTTCCAGGAAACACCTGATCAACTCCCAGGGATTTATCTACCTTTCTGCATTTTAAGACCTCCAGCACCACCTCTTCTGTAATATTGACAGTTTTCAAGATATCGCTATTTATTTTCCCAAATTCCCTCGGTTCCACATCCTTCTCCTCAGTAAATACTGGCGCAAAATATTTGTTTAATGTCTCACCCATCTCCTTTGGTTAATCTTTAAGGGGCTCTATTCTCTCTATAGTTACCCTTTTTGCCCTTAATGTATTAATAGAATTACTTTGGATTCTCCTTAACTCTATTTGCCAAAGCTATCTCATGTCCTTTTTTGCCCTCGTGATCTCCCACTTAAGTATACTCCTGTTGCCTTTATACTCTTCTAGGGATTCACTTGATCCCAACTGTCTATACCTGACACATGCTTCCTCCTTTTTCTTGACCAGAGCCTCAATTTCTCTAGTCATCCATTTCTTACACCTGCCAGCTTTGCCCTTCCCGCTAACAGGAACATACTATCTCTGAACTCTCGATAACTCATTATTAAAGGCCTCCCACTTCCTAACTGTCCCTTTATCTGTGAATAACTTCTCCCAATCAACTTTTGAAAGTTCTGTCTAATGCTGTCAAAAGTGGCCTTACAGTATAAATTGGAGTAAAGTTTTGATCAGTTCTATCCTTTTCCATCACTATTTAAAAACTAATAGAATTATGATCACTTGCCCCAAAGTGCTCCCCCACTGACACCTCAGTCACTTGTCCGAACTTATTTGCCAACAGAAGGTCCAGTATTGCTCCTTCACTGGTATTGAATAAGAAAGTTGTCTTGCACACACTTAACAAACTCCTCTCCATCCAAGCCCTTAACACTATGATAGTCTAAGCCTATGTTTGGAAAGTGAAAACTCCCTATCATTACAGCTCTTTTTTTCTTACAGATATGAGATCTCCTTTCATATTTGCTTTGAAATTTCTCAAAAACTGGGAGCCTGTAATACAGTCCCAACAAGTTGATCATTTCTTTATTATTTCTAAGTACCATCCATATAACTTCAGTGGACGATCTCCCAGGAGTAGCATCCCTAAGTACAGCCGTAACGTTTTCCCTGATCAAAAATACCACTCCCCCTCCTCTCTTTCCTCCCTCTCTATCCCTCCTATAACATCCGTACCCTGGAACATTAAGGTGCTGGTCCTGCCCATCCCTGAGCCATGTTTCTGTAATAGCTATGATATTTCAGTCCCATACACTCAACCATGCCCTAAGTTCATCTACCTTACCTGTCAGGCCTCTGACATTGAAGTAAATGCAGTTTAGTTTATCAGTCTTACCTCATCCTCTTCCAAGCTCTTGTCTGCCTTGACTTGCTACCCTCGTCCACTGTACCAGTTTCAGCCTTTTCTTTTTTCTCACTATCACTTTGGTTCTTCCCACTAGTTTAAAGCCTCCCAAGTAGCACTCACAAATTTCCCTGCAAAGTTGTTGGGGTCCCATTCCCCTTCTACAGATCATTTCTACCGCTGAAGAGATCCTAGTGCTCCAAAATTGCGAACCCTTGTCCCCTGCACCAGTTCCTCAGCCACGCATTTATCTGCTCTAACCTCCTATTCTTATTCCCACTAGCATGGTGCACTGGTAGTAGTCCAGATATTACTATCTTCAAGGACCTACTTTTAACCTCCTACCTAGTTTCCTATATTTTCTCTCCAGAACTTCATCCCTTTCCCTACCTATGTTTTTTGTACCAATGCGCACAATGACCTCTTGCTGGCCACTCTCCTTTTTGAGAATATTCTACTCGCTCTTTGAGACATCTTTTGATTCTGGCACCAGGGAGGCCACACATCATCCTGATGTCTCGCTGATGGCTGCAGAAATATCTGTCAGTACCCCAGACTAGAGAGTCCCTCATTACAGTCAATTTCTTGGAACCTGACATGCCCCTCATTACAGTAGAGCCAGTCATGGTATCAGAAACCTGCCTGAGAAAATAACACACTTTGCTCAAAACACAGCATATTAGAACAGTCTTACTGCTGACCCACTTTGATCTTCCGTGATGCCTACTTGTCCCTCATTCTAGGAGGATCAGAACTCACAATTGGACAGAAAGAGTGAAAACTTCCTTGTTGGGCTATCTGTCTTTCAGATTCTCACGTCTTGTGAGGATCCTGAATCTGACCACCCCAAGCAGTGTCTGCATTGGTATTGGAGACTTCCCTGACTTACTGGTGTCGGTATCTCCTGAGTGAAGACTATCCCCCTTGACTGGACTGAGGCCTGCTGACAACTGTGGCTTCTATACATCTGGAACTGAAATTGGCAACTACATTTCCTGTGGAACAGCAATACTGTGAGATTTCTGGGAAATTATCTTATACCTAATTAGTTTATATAGTCAGGTAATTAGCAAATTTGATACTTTTGTTGGTTGTTTGACATGCAAATACACAGATTTAGTTTTTTTAAAACTGAGTGATGATGAGTGAAGCCTGTACAAGTTATCATTGTGGCTACGTTCTATGTTTCTGATCTTGTGGCTTGCCAGTAGCAGTGTACTTAGATGTATCTTACAATGAAGAACTGATCTGTAAATAAGAAATGATGAGTTGAATAAATGGCCACAAAGGCATATGATTTTCCACTTCCAGAGAGAAATCATCAACGTATTTTTGAATTTTCCTGCATACTTTGCATACTAGAAGAGTTTAGGGAAAGACATAGATGCAGTTGTAATGTCAATGTCCTAGTAATCCAGAGGCTCAGGCTAATGCTTTGAGGACATGGGTTCAGATCCCACCGCGGCAACTTGTAATGTTTGAATTCAATTCTTAAATCTGGCATTGTAAGCTAGACTCATGAATTAAATAATTGTTATGGTATAGACGGAGGCATTTTGACCCCAGGCTCTCTGAGCCTTTTAACTAAGTACCAATCCCCTGATTTTTTAAAATTCTGGTTTTGTATTTTAAGATGGTGCCGTAGAATGGTGACTTTGTACACATTTCACTGTACTCCTACATTCCTGTACTTGAGTACACGTGAGAATAGTTTCTAATTCTAACTCTGTACTTTGTTTCTACATGCACAACAGTCAAACACCCTCTTGAATGCATTAATTGGACCTGTTTCAACTACATGCAGTGCATTCCAGGTGCATGATACTGCCATAGATTGTTATAAAAGCTCAACCGTTCCAATAATTTCCTTTAGGGAAGGAAATCTGCTATGTTTACCTGGTTCTACACATGATGCCAGACCCACAGTAGTGTATTATTGAATATTCTCAGAAAGGCAGCATTCCTTTATGATGACATGATGACATCAGAACATGTGCAGTTCCAGTGTAAAGTTCCTTGTCTCAACTTCAGTAGTCAGTGTGATGTGTACTGTTACAGTCATGTAATATAGCCATAACATCTGTAAGCATAGATCCCAGACTATGCAGTTTTTGTGGTACAATGGTATTGTCCCTAATTCTGGGCTAGAAAGTCCAGATTCAAGGCTCACCTGCCCTTGGAGGTATGTCTCAACGTGAGCAAACAAGTTGATGAAAAATAATTTCTAATCCAGTGTATGTGTAAGTCTGTTATCTTGTAACAGTTAATCAGCATTGTCTGTCTCAACAGTCTTCATGATATATGTGATAAGGGCTCTCATATAGAGAACAATAAACCACGTGATTGGGTGTTTGACCCAAGAAACCGCATCACGTAGCAGTGGAATGATTCTTAGCTCCTCTCTGGGATAGCTTTGCAAGCTTATAAGATAACGTTCACATCTCATTAAAGAATGAAGAACTCCTTCTCCCAGGTTAGCTGGAGGCTTAAGTACTCCAGCTGGTGACTTTCATGTTACAGACATATTTGAGCTCTTCTTTTCAAAATTCTTGCCAGCTTTACTTTCAGCACAGGGTTTTGTGTGCAGATTTCAAGTTCCAGCATGAATAATTAATTCTCATATGAAGTCTTTCATAGTCACAGTCAGGTAATTAGCAAATTTGATACTTTTGTTAGTTATACTGTTGGTTGTTTGACATGCAAATACACAGAAACAGACCCTTCGGTCCAACCAGTCCATGCTGAACATAATCCCAAACTAAACTCATCCCATCTGCCTGCTCGTGGCCCATATCTATCCAAACCTTTTCTATTCATGTATCTATCCAAATTTTTTTAAATGTTGTAATTGTACCCATATCCACCACTTCCTCAAGAAGTTCATTCCACACACAAAAAAAATTGCCTCATGTCTTTTTTAAATCTCTCTTCTCACCTTAAAAATGAAATCCCCCATCATAGGGAACAGATAACTACCATGAACTCTATCTATATTTCTCATAGAATAGAATCCCTACAGTGTGGAAACAGGCACTTCGACCCAACAAGTCCACACCGACTCTCGGAGCATCTCACCAAGACCCATCCCCCTATCATCCACCTAATCTACACACCCCTCAACACTATGGGCAATATTTCATGGCCAATCCACCTGGCCTGCACATTTTTGGACTATGGGAGGAAACCAGAGCACATGGAGGAAACCCACGCAGACACTGGGAGAATATGCAAGCTCCACACAGACAGTCGCCCAAGGATGGACTGGGTCCCTGGCGCTGTGAGGCAGCAGTGCTAACCACTGAGCCACCGTATTTTATAAACTTCTATCAGGTCGCCTCTCAACCTTCTACGCTCCAGTGAAAAAAGTCCCAGCCTATCCAGCTTTTCTTTATAACTCGAACCTTTTTTCATTGGAATTTGTTTCTGACCTTTACTATAATTTGCGTTAATTCTTTGGAGTGTCTTTTTAACTTAACTGTAAAATGTAAGCTGCAAGAACTGGAATTGAGTGTGTTTATCTTGCACTATATTCTCGGTGTAATAATAATGGTTTCCCATTCTGTTTTAATTCCGCTCCCCTTAAGGTATTTGTGAGATTGATGGTGCTTCAGAAAACCAGGAACCTGCGGCAAGAAATACCTTACAATCGACCAGATCGCTGTCCATCAACATTCCTAAGGTTTGAAGACTGATCCTTACTATTGAAAATAAATGAAGTGTAGTGTTACGGTACATAATTTTGTTAATATCAAATTACTGTGACATTCAGTGTTCTTCATGATGTTTTAAGAACATTTCGCAAGAAGTTTTATTGGAAATGCAATTACCTCGTCTCCCCTCCCCAAAATTGCTAATTAGTTAAATTGTGAAATTGGCCCCAGGTTAACAAGAAATGTACTATTTGTGCTCGCTGTGCATTGTTTCCTGTTGACTCTCCTGTTCGTTTCAATATATGTCCTTGTACTTTAACCCATGCCTTTCTGACACCTCAAAGAGCTTGCAGCTCATTTTGCTTGTTCTTACTTAAAAACATTATGCTGCTTAAAAGTAACCTCCAAATATGTATTTCCCATTTCTTCTCTAACTAATCAGCCGACCTTGGGGTGCAGAACTTGCAACAGAATAGGTCATACATTTGGCACTCAAACATTAGACTTGTATAGTAAACCTTGAATTTCTGGAAGAGGTTCATAACTGGAAAGTTCACTCTTTACAGCTTAAGAATTTAGACTTTAATTCAGTATTTAAAAACATTTCATATGCTTTGGTTCTGCTTGCCTTGTCATTCCTGCTCTCTCCTTTTATAATTACTTTCCAAATCTTAATGCTGCCATATTTATAAGCACTACAGAAGAGAACAACCTTAATTATCTTTTTTAGAAGTTAAAATAGAAAACGAATTTGTACTGATCATGCTGAAGGCATGTTTGCTGTGAAGTTGGCTTTTGATTGATTGATTGTTTTGTAACAACTACAAGCAGTGGGTTTCTTTGCTAACATGGCTGCATTGATTTTTAATTTTATAGCACATTTCATATAATGAAATGTCCCAAGGCACTTTGCAGGAAGATTAAAAACAAAATATGACACTGAGACTCATGGCATATTTAGATCAGATGCAAAGTAGCTTGATCAGATGGTATATTTTAAGGACTTGAGCCTTAAACCTTCAAAGGCAGAAACCAAGGAGGAGTGTGGGTAGAGCATGCCAGAAATGAAGGTGTAGATAACTGAAGGCATGGCCACTTATATTGGAGCAATTAAAGCAGGGATGCACAAGAGACCAGATTTAGAAGCCCGCTGATCTCTCAGAGGGTTGTGTGGCTAGAAGACAGTACAAAGACTAAGGAGTGGATATCCTGGAGGATTGCAAAAGAATGATGAGAATTTTAGAATTAAGTTGTTGCTTGACAAGGAGGTAACCATTCAGCAGGCACAAGAGCTACAGTGGAACTGGACTTGCTGCAAATTAAGACGGGGAAAGCAAGGATTTAGATGACCTTCAATTTATGAAGAGTAGAATGTGGGACACCATCCAGGAGTGCATCAGAATAACCCAATCTAGGGGTAACATAGGCATAATAGAGGGTTCAGCATCAGATGAGCTGAGATAGGGACAAAGGCAGCTGATTTGGAAGTGGAAATAGACAGCCTTAGTGATGGCATGAATGAGGTTAAAGCAAAACAAAGTTCCAACCTTTTTTCCTGGCACTATCATTACAGACACTCGAGCCCAGAGAAATTATGCCTTTATCTCAACTTAAAGTTTCTGCTTAACTGACACTTACAGTTTTGTTGCTCTAGTTTCGTGGAGACAATTTGCTGTGTCCTTTCCAAGTCTGCTGATATGAACTTGTCAAAAATCTGAGAACCTAAATGTTCTCAATTCTAATAACCTGCAGATTTCTAGCCAAACTCTTCTAACTAAACCCTTCTGCTGTGGTGACTTGTTCCCTGAAATCCTTCCAGAAGAGAAAGTAAATTTGATCTAAACTGAACCCAGGTTACTTCTGAACTGAGGTAAAAGAACTTGCTCAATCCCAGATTCTTCTGAACTGACAACGAATCTAATGGTTTTACATGTTTGTGTTACCTGTCATTGACCCAACAGTGTAAACATCTTGCCATTAACTTCAAAGGTATCTGCAATCAATTGTCTTTTGACAAAAGTTGGATTTAATTTAATTGCTACTCTGGAAGCACTCCCCGATCTTTCTTTTTGTAAAAGGAAAGCCTTCACAGAAGTAACCGTCACCTATCTGCTTCTAATTTGAAATCCTATTCACATGTTCAGAGAACAATTAATTGGATTAAGGTTAGAAAATGACTATTTTAGATGTGTTTACATAACAATGTTAAAGACATGAAATTTAGTCATGACTTTTCTTCCAATTGTTTTCACACTCGTCCTACAAGCCATATATTTGCTAGGGGTCTAAGTGTCTTGATCAAGTGTCCATTCATCGGGCCATTTTACATTGGTCCAGACTGGCTGGACAATTGCCAGTGTCCAGACATTTGCTGGTATTACTCCTACTACCCACAGTTCTCCTTACCAATTACTGTGACTAATATTATCTATCTCAACACAGCCAGGAATCAAACTTGTGTTGCTGTCAAGAAGCTTCCCTTGTCATGATGTGCCAAGAAGAGTGCCAGTGACAATATTAAGATTCAATACCCAGGTTAAAGTTAATTCTGACAGCATAAAAACAAGGCATTTTAATCTTTTCTATGATAAAAAATGTTTACTTAATACCTGCACCATTCTGAATAGAAGCTCACTTTCTCTTAAGTCAGAAGATTGTGTGTTCAGGCCACATAATTTTTTACATTCATTCATTGGATATTGGTGTCACTGACAAGACTTGCATTTAATTGCACATCTCAGATTATGAGAATGTTCTGGTGTGCCACCTCCTTGAATACAGCTAATGCAGCTGAATGACTTGATAGTCCAATTCATTGGACAATTAAGAGTCAACCACAATGCTGTGGTTCAGATGCCACTTATGCAGAACTGGGTCAGGATATCAGTTTTCCTTTCCCAAAGGATATCAGTGAACAAGATGACAATTTGTGATAATTCAGCAGTTTCATGGTCCGTATCACTGATAGTTGCATTTTAGATAAGATTTTATTTAACTAACTAAATTTAAATACCTCAACAACTGTTACATGCGAGCATCTGAATTCGGAGCTGAAGTAGGCCACTCAGGCCTTTGAACACACTCTGCATTCAATTAGATTTGATTGCTCCAAATTCCTGTCTACCCCAGTAACCATTCAGCCTATCTCTGTCTTAAAAAAAAGTTTCAAGACTGTGCCTTGAAAAGCTGAGATGGAGTTCCAAAGATTCTTGACCTTCTGTGTCAAAGCAAAATCATCTATCTTAAATGGGCCATCATTTATTTTAAAACAGTTCCCATAGTTCTAGTTTCTCCTACAAAAGAAAACAAGCAGCTTGTCAAGAACCCTCCCGATTCTTGTGTTTCAATCAATTTGCTTCTTACTCTTCTAAACTCCAGTAGATGCAAACCTACCCTGTCGAACCTTTCCTCATATGACAACCCACCCATTCCAGGTGTTAGTCTATTAAACCTTGTCTGAACTGCTTCAAATGCATTTGCATCCTTCCTTCAATTACAAGACCAATCATATACACAGATATAGTCTCCCCAAGTGCAATAGGTAATATTTTGTCAGCTTTCCTAATTACTTCCTGCATGCCAACTCTTCATGATTCATGCACCCAGAACCCTCTATATCTCAGAGCACTGGATTCTCTCACTATTTAGATAATCTGCATCCTTTTTATTCTTACAGATGACATGGACTGTTTCACGTCATCCCAACTTATGCTCTATCCTTGCCACTCACTTAACCTATCAATATTCCTTTGCAGTCTCCTTAGACTCTGTTCAGAGTTTAAATCCCTACCTACCTTTGTGTCACGAGCAAATTTAGCAACCATGCCTTCTATCCCTTCATCCAAGTCATTGATATCAATTTTAAAAAAAAGTAAAAAGTTGAGGCTCCAGCACTAATCCCTGTGGTACTTCACCCGTTACATTTTGCCAAGAAGAAAAGGACACATTGCTTATTCCCTTTGTCTTGTTAGCTAGCCTGTCTTGTTGTGGCATCTTATTTGATATATTCTTGAAATCTAAGTACAATACGTCTGCCTGTGCCATTTTCATAGCATATGTTATTACTTCCAAAAACTTCAAAAATCAGTTAAACATAATTTCCTTTTAACCATGTTGACTCTGACTGGTTGCCTTGAAATGCTCTAAGTGCCCTGCTGTAACATTTTTGATAAAAGCTTATTTCCCGATGGCAGATGTTAAATTAACTGACCTGTAGATCCCTGCTTTCTGTCTTCCTGCTTTTTTGGTTAAAAGACTTTTTTTCTATTTTCCAGTCTAATGGAACCCTCCCCATATCTAGGGAAGTTCGTCAAATTAAAACCAACGCGTGAATGCATCTATTGCTAGCTGTCTCTATTGACTCTATCACCTAGCTTGCTAACTGTAGCCACATTCCTCTGTCCATGACCACTGAAAAATTAAAGAACCATCCTAAGGGGTGTGACTGTGCTCAGTACAAAACTCTTCCTCACCTTGATCTGTCGTAGTGTGTGTAACTTGGCCTCCAGCTTAACAGCTTCAAGCTGAAACTCCTCTTGCGCAAATACTTTGTGCATTCTGTTCACCCTAAATCATACTGACATCCAGTGTCTTCCAGATCCTACAACCTTCCTGCCTTCCTTAATGTGTTTTAATTAATTGGTTAATTGTATTATTCAGTTTTTAATTTTCCTTTTTATACGTTGATTTTTCTCTCAGATCCTATACTAATTTAAACCTTAGGAATAGAATCCGCCTTAACCACTTTTCGGATGCTCACGAAAAGGCTAGCTTCTTCCCTAGTAGTAGAGTAAGAATCATTCCTTCCAAGATGAGAAAGTTAGAAAACCCTTCCTGTCTTCACCTAATACTCTTAGTCACCCAATACATAGCACTCTGTTCAAAGTTGCATTGTGCTCAGTTGCATTGAGTTAACAATCATCAGAACTGATAAGAGGTCACGACTCGAAACGTTAATTCTGCTTTCTCCCCAAAGATGCTTCCAGACCTAGAGATAGTAGGAACTGCCAATGCTGGAGAACCTGAGATAACAAGGTATAGAGCTGGATGAACACAGCAGGCCGAGCAGCATCAGAGGAGCAGGAAGGCTGATGTTTCGGGTCTAGACCCTTCTTCAGAAATGGGGGATGGGAAGGGGATTCTGAAATAAATAGGGAGAGAGGGGGAGGTGGTTAGAAGATGGATAAAGGAGAAGATAGGTGGAGAGGAGACCGACAGGTCAAAGAGGCGGGGATGCAGCCAGTAAAGGTGGGGAGTTAGGGTGGGGATAGGTCAGTCCAGGGAGGACGGACAGGTCAAGGAGGTGGGATGAGGCTGGTAGATAGGAGATGGGGGTGGGGCTTGAGGTGGGATGAGTGGATAGGTGGGAGGAAGGACAGGTTAGGGAGCCGGGGACGAGCTGGGCTGGTTTTGGGATGCAGTCGGGGGAGGGGAGATTTTGAAGCTTGTGAAGTCCACATTGATATCATTGGACTGCAGTGTTCCCAAGCGAAATGTGAGGTGCTGTTCCTGCAACCTTCGGGTGGCATCGTTGTGGCACTGCAGGAGGCCCAGGATGAACATGTCGTCCAAGGAGTGGGAGGGGGAGTTGAAATTATTCGCGACTGGGAGGTGCAATCGTTTGTCGCGAACCGAGCATAGATATTCCACAAAGTGGTCCACAAGCCTCCGCTTGATTTCCCCGATGTAGAGGAGGCCACAACAGGAACAGCGGATACAGTATTCCACATTAGCAGATGTGCAGGTGAACATCTGTTTGATGTGGAAAGTCTGCTTGGGGCCTGGGATGGGTGTGAAGGGGGAGGTGTAGGGGCAGGTGTAGCACTTCCTGCAGTTGCAGGGATAAGTGCCTGGGCTGATGGGGCTGGTGGGGAGTGTGGAGCGGACAAGGGAGTCACGGAGAGAGTGGTCCCTCCGGAAAGCAGATAAGAGTGGGGAGGGAAAAATGTCTTTGGTAGTGGGGTCAGATTGCAGATGGCAGAAGTGCTGGAGGATGATGCGTTGGATCCGGAGGTTGGTGGGGTGGTACGTGAAGATGAGTGGGTTTCTGTTTTGGTTGTTATTGCGGGGAGGGGGTGTGAGGGATGAGTTGCGGGAAATGCGAGAGACATAGTCGAGGGTGTTTTCGACCACTGTGGAGGGGAAGTTGCGGTTCTTGAAAAATGAGGACATCTAGGATGTCTGGGAGTGGAATGCCTCATCTCGGGAGCAGAAGCGGCGGAGGTGAAGGAATTGGGAATAGGGGATGGCATTTTTGCAGGAAAGTGGGTGAGAGGAGGTGTATTCTAGGTAGCTGTGGGAGTCGGTAGGCTTGAAATGAATATCGGTTTCCAGCTGATTGCCAGAGATGGAAACAGAGAGGTCCAAGAAGGAGAGAGAGGTACCAGAGATGGTCCAGGTGAACTTAAGGTTGTGGTGGAAGGTGTTAGTGAAGTGGATGAACTGTTCGAGCTCCTCGTGGGAGCACGAGGCGGTGCCGATACGGTTATTGATGTAACGGAGGAAGAGGTGGGGGATGGGGCCAGTGTAGCTTCGGAAGAGGGATTGTTCCACGTATCCTACAAAGGGGCAGGCATAGCTTGGGCCCGTACGGGTACCCATGGCCACCCCCTTTGTAGGAAGTGGGAGGAATTGAAGGAGACCTGTTTCCAGACCTGCTGAGTTTCTCCAGTTTGTTTTTATTTAAAATCTCCAGTATTTGCAGTTCTTTCTTTGTAAAGGTAAATACAGGCCAAATCAGAATTGCAGCAAAAGAGTGTCAGTTTCACTTCAGAATATCGTGTTCCTTGTTGAATTGTGTTTTAAAAAACAGTGCAAAAGATACAGTTAGGACAGAGGAGGTTTTCCCCACTGTGGGAGAAAACATTAAAATTCAGGCACAAGCATAAACTACAACTTCGACATTCCAATAAAACACAGCACAGGAACAGGCTCTTCTGCCCATCAAGTCTGTGCCGATTCCCAATCCTTATTTAGACCTGCTACTTATCGCCTATGTGCGATATCTATTGCCCTGTTCACCTCCCGTTTGTGAGTCTATCAAGGTGCACCTTAAATGTTGCTAATGTGTCTACTTCCACCACCTCCACTAGCAGTTAGCTCCAGGCACCCATCACCCTCTGTGAAAATTTTGTACAGTTTCCCATGAGACTGTACCTTCTGTAACAGCCTGCTATTAGGTAGCTTATCAAATGGCTTACTAAAGTCCATGTAGACAACATCCACTGCCCTTCCCTCATCAATCATTCTTGTCACTGTCTCAAAAAACTTAAAGTTGGTGAGATATGAACTTCCGCGCACAAATGCATGCTTCCTATCACTAACAAGATCATTCGCTTCCAAATGTGAATAAACCCTTTCTATCAGAATCTTCTCCAACTGCTTCCCCCCACTGATGTCAGGCTTACTGGCCTGTAATACCTGGATTATATCCATTTCCCTTCTTAAACAAAGGAACAATATTGACCAATCTCCAGACTCGGGAACCTTTCCTGAGGCCAAAGAGGATGCAGAGATATCAGTTAAGGCCCCATATATTTCCTCCCTTGCCTCTCACCGTATCCTGGATAGATCCCATCTGGCACTGGGGACTTCCTCCTTCATTATGTTGATCTGCCCAAAAGTATTCAAACGCCTTTTCCTAACCTCAGCATTCCTCACATCCTTCTCTTTGGTGAATACTGATGTAAAGTACTCGTTAAGGATCTCACCCATTTTCTCTGGCTCCACTCAAATTCTCTCCTTTTTATCCTTGAAGGGGCCTAATCTTTCTCTAGCTACCCTCTTGCTCCTAATGTATGTATAAAATGCCTTGGAATTCTCCTTAACATTGATGGCAAAGAACATTTCATTGCCCCCTTTTAGCCCTCTTAACTCCCTGCTTGAGTTCCTTCCTATTTTTTCTGTATTCTTCAAGGACTTTGTTTTTAGTTGTGTAGGTCTTAGGTATGCTTCACTTTTAGTTGACTAAGCTGATAATTTCCCCTGTCATCCAAGGCTCCCAAATCCTGCCATTCCTGTCCTTCATTTTCACAGGAACATGCCTGTCCTGCACTCTAAAGAACTGGCCCTTAAAAGACTCCCATATGTCAGATTTACCCTCAAACAGCCGCTCCCAATTTACATTCTCCAATTCTTGCTTGATTTAGTTACAGTTAGCCTTCCTCCAATTTAACATCTTCAGCCAAGGTCCACTATTGTCCTTTTCTATCAGTATCCGAAAACTTACTGAATTATGGTCACTATTCCCAAAATGCTTCTTCACTGAAACTTTGATCACTTAGCCGGACTCATTTTGCAATACCAGGTCCAGTATGGCCCTTTCCTTGGACTATCTACAAGCTATTTCAAAAAACCCTCCTGCAGACATGTAACAAATTGCTCCCTGTCCAAACCCCTGGCACTAAGGGAGCCCCAGTCAATTTTGTTGAATTGTCCTAGAGGACATCTAACAAAACAAAGAGAACTAGTTCCTATTAATATTACTACATTTTTAAGGTAGTTAAAGAAAACGATCAGGGACATCGGACTCTTTGCTTTCATCTCTTGGCCTCTTCACCTTTATATTGTTACAGTACTGTTCTATTTTAGATTTAATGGCTCACCATAAGCTAACAATGTAACATTTGCTTCAGAGTGCATCCTGTGTTTTTTTCCCATAACCTATAACAGTATAGGTTTGTTTGTAGATCTTTTGTAGCAAATTCCACAGCTGAGGATGATGAAATTATTTACTTTGAACACCTGTTTCTTTTTAACTGCTTTTTACTTCAACTGATATTTTCAATCATTTGCCAACATTATTAAAACTATGTGTGTGCATCACTCTGTCTGACATTAAAATTTCACCTGTGGAATGCAATAAATTATGGGTGTGATGTTGGATTGTAATGTTAGATGATTACTCTATCGTCTTGCAGGATGACAATGGCAGTTTCCACTGAAAATAAGTTTAACATCATTGAAGTATTTATGACCTGCTGATAGGAATGGGTGCACGGACTGGAATACTTTTATCTGTGTTCCCATGCAGTTATTAATAATGTGTTATTCTTTGGTTTGTTTTTTAATTCCATTTAGGCAATTGCAAATTCACAAAAGAAAAGTTCGGCACAGTTTCAAGCATTTACTGAAGGTAATTCATTTCCTTTACAAAATGATCATAAAATACTATTGAATATTTCTGTAGGCAAGGGGCTTGTGAAGTGAATGAGCTGAGGTCTTCATTATTATAATTAGTAGTCCAAGAACTTGTTTCCAACTTCAGTGATGCTAAACGTTTCTTCACAATTAACTGCTTTTTCAAAGCTCTTTACCTCACTGTTCTCATCATTTACTCCAGCATCAAGTATGTAGCGCCCGTAGTTTCTTCACTTTGAAAAGTTAATTGTTTCTAAACCTTGGTTTCTGTTAGGACCTCTATTTCATCATCTCCTCCCTGTTCTTCGCCTCTTTCTCTGTCTCCTATGTACTTTTACTCAAGTCTAATATGATTCTGCAGTTTTTCTTCTACCCTCTTTCCACTTTGCTTTTCTGTTTCCTTTATTTTTTCGATACTCATCTTTTACCTGAATTCCAGTTTCTATTTCCTTGTTCCTGTTTTCTAACAACTTCTGACAACTTCACTCCCTATCCTTGCTCCTGTACATAATAACATTGATGGTAGCTTCCTTTGTTCAGGCATCACTCTTCTGCTTTCAAAATTGCCATCATTACCCACTTAAAAATGAAAGGTGCTGCTGATCCATTCACCTTTTCAACTATCTCTTTATTCATTCATGGGATCTGCATGCCTCTAACATGAATGGAATCTGCATGTCTGTATGGATTTCCCATCCATAACAGCCATTGAAGATGATACTGTGCCTTCTTGAACCACTGCAGTCCATGTGACATAGGTATACTACAGTGTTTTGATGGAAGGAGTTACAGGATTTTGCCCCAATGACAGTGATGGGTTGCAACCTCTGTTAAAATGTCAATAAATGGTTACTATGTTAAGGTCCTAGCAGAATATAATAATGACCCAAATTAGGACAAAATTCTAAGCATTTAACATCATAAACACGTGAAACTGACCGAAACTTATGGCATGTGCATACGTGCAGTTAATTGTGTAAATTCAGATATTGCCCTTTCACTGGACATGCTGTTAAATACTCCACAGATAACTCTCTTTAGAAATAGCTGAACTGATTATGTTTCTCTCCTTTATACAACCATATTGCTGTTGAAACCTTTAGATAAGGTTACATCCTGTTAGTGACTTGTAACTAGTTTTTAAATGTGCAAATCATAATTACTGCTGAAAAACCTCTCTGGCTCTGAACTATTTCAATGTTTGCATATTTGCATAAAATCTAGGCTACTGTGTAAATGCATTTTAGATGTTTAATTTAAGAACATAAGAAATATGAGCAGGTGTAGACATATGATCCCCCAGTCTTCCTCTGCCATTCACTGTAGTCATGGCTGATCTTAAGCTTTAGCTCAATTTCCCTGCATGCTTCTCATTTCCATTAATACACTGAAAGCAAAAGTCTGTCTTTTTCATCCTTGTGTATTTAAGCAGTCTCCATCCAACATCGCACCCCCGCTCCCCCCCCCCAACACCCCCAATCACTGTTGCCACCAACACCACCACCACCAACTCTTGTAATGGCCCTAACGTTCTAATAATTCTTGGACTTCAGGATTTTATAGTCATCAAATACAAGATTTGGTTTGGGTACAAATTTGTTGTTCATTAAGACAAAACCCACCTGACACCCTGATACAAATAATACTTCTAGATTTTTTTTCTAAGCAGCCTGTCATAGATTTTATTACACATCAGTGGAGCAGTGAGACTTCAAGCCAGAGGTGAAGACCCAACCATTACACCACCAGAGCACTAAATAAAACTCAAGTTGGTTTAAATGAAACAACAGCAGTTTATCCGATTAAATCCCACTATATTTTAACCTCAGTGCTCTCCCCTTCCTCAGCAGCCCTCACCTCCAAACTTACAGAGCCACCACAACTTGTTAGGTTAAAGAAATGTTTACCTGACAAGTCACAGGTAAAACCATGTTTCTGCCAAACTTTAGTTAATTCAGACCCAAACCCACTGGTTTTGGTTGTTACCCTCTCTGGATACAAATTAAATTCCAGAAGGGGAAAAAAAGGATGGCACAGTGGCTCAGTGGTTAGCACTGCTGCCTCACAGTGCCAGGGACCTGGATTTGATTCCACCCTTGGGCAACTGTCTGTGTGGAGTTTGCACAATCTCCCTGTGTCTGTGTGGGTTTCACCCGGGTGCTCTGGCTTCCTCCCATAGTCCAGAGATGTGCAAGTTAGGCGGGTTGGCTATGCTAAATTGCCCTATGGTGTCCAGGGATGTGTAGGTCAGAGGGGATAGCCATGGGAAATATTGAGTCGGGTGTGGGTCTCGTGTCTGTGATGTCCATTGGAGGGTCGGCATGGACTTGTTGGGCTAAATGGCCTGTTTCCACACAACAGGGATTCTATGAAATATGATTCTATTATCTTAATCTCTCAACCCCAGTTCTCTGCTGATTAGGCTGATAATTTACAGTCCTCCACACAGATGATAATTGTGGTGAGAATTGTTGGTCCACAAACCAGTTTGGCTGTGACTGCAGTGCTAAACCCTTCAATGTTGTTCTTTTTATGGTTATCTTTGTTGAGCTATCATAAATACATTTCCTGAAGTTATCTTGCTGAATAGTCAATGGTTAGCGCCTTTTTTGATCCTTCAGGGTTGCTCTAGACAGACCTGATCAGTGCTGATGTTATTTCTATAACTGAAAACAGTCCATTCCAGCAAAGCTGATCATTATATGGAAGGGTTCCTTTCTTCAGTGAAAGGGGTAACTGGATGTTGTCTGGAGCGATTGGTTATGACAATGGCCTCTTTCTTAATTTGGTTTCATGATGATGCTTATCTCAGGTCCTTGTTGTGATAATATCCCAAATTCCAGTCTTTGTAATTATATTATATCTGTGATGCAGTGTCTGAAATGTAGCCTACCTCTGTTTGTGTTAAGGCCTGGTTTTCACTTATTATATTTGTGTCCTTTTGGTTTATCCATCAAGACCAGATAAAATACAGTCGGAGGGGATTCCGATTCTACTGTATACACTCAATTATAGAGCATCCACAACTTCACAGGGTAGACAATTCTAATGATTCACATGTCTTTAAATGAAGAACATAGAACACAGAACAGTACAACACAGTACAGGCCCTTCGGCCCATGATGTTGTGCCGAACTTCTACCCTAATCATAAGGTCTATCTAAACTCCACCCCTACCTTATACTATCATCCATATGCCTATCTAATAGCCGCTTAAATGCCCCTAATGTGGCCAACTCCACTACCCTCTCCGGCAATGCATTCCATGCCAAGGACTACTCTGAGTAAAGAACCTACCTCTGACGTCTCCCCTGTATCTACCTCCACTCACTTTAAAACAATGCCTCCTCGTAATAGCTACCTCCACCCTAGGAAAAAGTCTCTGGCTATCCACTCTATCTATACCTATGATCATTTTGTACACCTCTATCAAGTCACCTCTCATCCTTCGTCGTTCTAAAGAGAAAAGCCCTAGCTCTCTCAACCTTTCCTCATAAGACCTTCCCTCCATTCCAGGCAACATCCTGGTAAATCTCCTCTGCACCTTTTCCAACACTTCCACATCTTTCCTGTAATGAGGCGACCAGAACTGGACTCAATATTCCAGATGTGGCCGAACCAGGCTTTTGTATAGCTGGAGCATAACTTCACGGCTCTTGAACTCAATCCCTCTATTAATGAAAGCTAACACACCATACACCTTCTTAACAACTCTATCCACCTTGGTGGCAGCTTTCAAGGAACTGTGAACATGAACCCCAAGATCCCTCTGCTCCTCCACACTGCCAAGAATCTTTCCCTTAACCCTGTATTCTGCTTTCAAGTTTGTCCTTCCAAAATGAATCACCTCACACTTTTCAGGGTTAAACTCCATCTACCACTTCTCAGCCCAGCTCTGCATCCTATCAATGTCCCTTTGTAACCTAGAACAGCCCTCCGCACTGTCCACAATGCGACCCACCTTTGTATTGTCTGCAAACTTGCTAATCCACCCTCCCACTCCTTCATCCAAATCACTGATAAAAATCACAAATAGAAGAGGATCCAGGACAGATCCTTGTGGTACACCACTCGTAACTGGGCACCATGTTGAATATTTTCCATCCACTACCACCCTTTGTCTTCTAAGGGTCAGCCAATTCTGAATGCAATCTGCCCTATTTCCCCCTCTCCCTTGCCTCCTTACCTTCTGCATGAGCCTACATGGGGAACCTTATCAAACGCCTTACCTAAATCCGTGTGTACCACATCCACTGCTCTACTTTCATCCACGTGTTTGGTGACCTCTTCAAAGAATTGAATAAGGTTTGTGACGCATGCTCTACCTCTCTCAAATTCATGCTGACTATATTATAAACTACTAACTATCACTGACTATAAAGAAATTTCTCCTAATCAATGATCAACCTCTTATCCTGAGAATATCCTTTCATGTTCTAGTTTCCCCAACTAATGAGAAAATTAGGTGATCACCTTTCATTCTTCTAAACACAAACAAGTATCGGTCTAGTTTACTCAGTCTCTTATCATGCGACAACCCTCTTCATCCTCATCAGGAAATATTGATGTACCACCTCCAAGGAACGACATTCCTCTCATGAAGGGAATACACATTAGCAATACTTGGCTATTTATCCAGCAAGCAAATAATAATGTCTTTTCTTATCTCGTGTAAAGGGTTTTGCTGGAGGTATTGATTGTAAGAAAATAGTATAAAATAAACAATGTTTGCCACAGCACGTTATTAGGTCCATGAAAGTTATACTTTATAGATTGAAGATTACCATACAAACACAGGTTTAACGTCTATATAGAAGTGCGTTACAAGGCAGCCAAGTGACATATTCAGACGACATAAGTCTTAAAAGTACATCTGTGTTGCAAATGGAATGACTTGAGGGGTAATTAAAATAGATAATTAAATTATACAGTTCCTTTTAAAATAAAGGTCAAGGTTGAAATTGCAGATATAACCAGATGACTCAAACTAATGTG